TAAAACAATAAATATATAATATATATATAAACACGTGGAAAATTTCCTGTCTCTAGTTCTTTCAGAACATACATCACTCACATAGTTCCCAAAAAGAATATTCGGCCTGTTGTCTGTGTACATTTGAACAAGTCGTTGGACACTGAATCCTTTTTGCAAATGGTAAGAGTATAAAAATGAAAATAAAAATAAAAGGATGTTAAAGTGTTGCAACAAGAACCTGGACTTATGCACTCATGCCGCCAAAGGGCTTGGCAAACAAGTAACTATATCAAAAATGAATAGCATGTTGTGGAGATCCGAAGGCACCCAGCCTAACCTTTCATTTGCCCAGACTCTTCTCATTGTCTAACAATGAAAAGGCTGCCACAGAGCGCTTTGTGCCACATGCGACTCGTGCCTCAGAAATATAATAAGGCAACAGCAACAAGGGCAAACAAACAACCAGAAGCACACACACAAGCTACCTCTGACGCACTGACTGACTGACTGACTGAATGACTGAACAAATGGCCGACAGTGCCTTGCATCCCTTTGGCACAACATTTTCATCCTTAACCTCCTCAACGTCGTCCTCGTCGTCGTCGTCTTCATCTTTGTCACCTTGAGCTTTGGGTTATTGGGTTTTTGCACACTCGTCCAAGCGTGGGCCTTGCGCTTCACTCGATCTCGGTGTGAAATACAGCAACAGCAGCAGCAGCAATCCCAATCTAGTTAGGCCAAGAAAAATGTCAAATTCTCTACACAAATTCAAATATTGATGTATGCACTTTGAGAATTGTATTCTCCTCTTTCTTTATTCAATTCAATTGTGCAATAAATCATTTGTGCTTAACTACATTTTCAAATATGTTGAATGACCTCTCAGTATGTTACTTATCTCAATAGATAAATAACTTAACTCCAATGCTCGTTAATTGTTTTGCCTTTTCTAAACCAGAAAGCATCAAAATTTAGCTGCCTTCGTAAATCAATATGCTCACATGTCTGGGTGTGAGAGAGAGCAAAAACGGCTGCAAACAAACAACTTTGACTTTGACTTTCTAGCTCTGCATTCACCCTGCACTTTAGACACCTCTAAGACCCTGCCTCCCCAGTACTCCTATTCCAAATGTGTGAATGAGTGTGTCTCCCCCATAATCGCATGCAAAGGCCAACGAGCATCAAGTTGATAAATATTTGCTTTTGTCAAAATATTGTGATATAGTCTCGGGCACAGTTTCAGTTCAGTTTCATTGACTTTGTTTCGATTTAATTCTCTGAACCCATTGAAAATTGGAATGTAATGTATAATTTTTTGAGAAAATATATGGCACATAAAGATTATACAAATATGTATATTGCTGATAATAGCTAGTTGAGTCGATATTACCATGCCTGTCTGTCTATCTGTCCGTCTATTCGTCTGCTTGAACGAGTCGATTTCAGAACCTATAAGAGTTAGAGAAAATTTATATTTAATAAACGTATTTCAAATACTAGAGACTTATTAAAGCATAAGTTCTTTGTAGGGTCCACGGGATCTCGTAATCTAGCCGCATCGATTTTAGCATCTTATACTTACTGAATTTGTATAATTCCAGTAATCAGGTCTCCATTTGAACAAATTTGTGTAAAACAGAACGATGAAGTATTGTTAGAGACTTTTCTATTAAATTTCCATTGTAATTTCAATGGAGCTTTTTACCACAATAGAGTTTTGCTTTTCAATTTTTTATTGATTTATTATTAGGACATTTCTTTTGAAGAGCAACCAAGAAGCAATGGTTTACCACATATTTATGACCAAGGCGAAACTATTACAACTATCGGAATCTCGCACTGTGAATATCCATTATATTTTGTATGAACTTTCATGCTGTATTGTATTCTGTGTGGAATCTTAAATAAAACCGTAAAAATGTAATCGGCTATGCTGATAATGTAAGGTACCTTACCTAATCTATAAAAACAAGAGATGATTGAGACCAATGTATACTATTTTCTAAATTCAATCCAAGAAGTCCATAAAAAGTGTCTAGGAAAGACACAACACAAGTCGGATAACAATATGATTGTCAACTGGAGCTTAATTATCAGCCTACAACTCCTTACTGCAGTTGAGGTTGCTGCGTCCCAAAGAGGAAATCTGCGCATTGTGGGAGGAAAGGTCCTTTCTATAGTGAAAGCACCCTGGCAGGTTTCATTACAAGTGGATAGGATTCATATTTGTGGCGGCTCTATTTTGAGCCCTTCTATAATTGTAACTGCAGCACATTGTGCGAGGCCGCTTAGACGCAAGCATTCACAAATTCGGGCTGGATCCAATAATTGGAAACGTGGAGGGCAGGTCGCTCAAATAAAAAAAATTACTGAGCATCCGAAGTACAATGTCGCTACTTTTCAAAACGACGTCGCAATTTTGCATTTAAGTACGAAACTTAAATTTGGTCTGACCACAAATTCGATTCAGCTGGCAAGTAAAGCACCACAGAAAGGAGATCGTGTGTCTGTTTCAGGCTGGGGTTTTACGAGAGAGAACAGTTTTAATCGTTCACGGGATTTGCAATATGTGTATGTGAAAATTATAAGTCGCCAGTCTTGCCAGAACTCGGGACACGCTAAACAAGGAACAAAAATAAGAACGGGCRTGATATGTGCTGCCGGCAATAATAAAGATGCATGTCAAGGGGACTCTGGCGGCCCGTTGATTGGAGATGGAAAACTAGTTGGTATTGTTTCATGGGGCGTGGGATGTGCTAGAAAGGACTTTCCAGGAGTTTATACCGATGTGGCATTCTACCGGAATTGGATATTAACAGAATCGAAAAGGAAAGTGTAAAAACTATATCAATCAATTTATATGAAAGTATCTTTTGTATTCATCTACAATTAATAAGAATCCCCCACTAGATTTTGATCATCATATATCACCGAGCAGCAGTATGTAGTTGAGTTATCGATTTTCATAAACAAACTCGATATCCGCGTGAGGACCTAGGAGATACCCTGAACCATGCAAAGAAATTCACTTCTTTTATACACATATAAAAAATCACAACTGCACAGTTAGCAGCGACTGTGCTTGGGTTGCAGTGCACTTAAGGCGTGGTCTCCAAAATCTTTAAGTTATAAAACCGTTGTATTTATTAAATATATACACAGTAAATCTGACGTCTCCAGGTCTAAAGGTGTTTAAATTAGACTGAAAAAAAATAAAAATAAAATGTTCGATTATTCACGATAAAAAAGCTATCGGATAAGTCATCGAAAAAAATTTGATAAACTTGTGCTGCGTATGGTACACACGAGTATGCTTGCGAAATTTCTCTAGTCTCTAGTTCTTATATCTTCTGAGATCTAGGCGTTCATACGGACGGACGGACAGACGGACAGGGCTTTATCGACTCAGCTGTCGCCCTGATCAAGAATATATATACTTTGTGGGGTCTGACACGCCCCCCTCTGCCTGTTACATACTTTTAACAAAACCATTATACCCTTATTTCCCATTTTCAATGGGTTCAGGGTATAAAAATTCTCGAACTTGACCCAATTTTTATAAAACTGAATGATGCAGCACAGATTTTTCTGTCAAATTTCATTACCAGTATAGAGATATGTATGTCTGTCAAATTTTGCCAGATTAATTGTTAGCAATTTTCATTTTAATCAAAGAGTAGAGACTCACCACATATTTAATCTTAACACAATGGATGCACCCTGACCTAGGAAACTATCGCAACTGTCCACTGTGAATATTCATTCTACAATATTTCGTGMTCTCAATACATTGTACAGCTTTATCTTATTGTGCGTGGAATCTT